ACTATAATAGTAGATAGATATATTCTATACTACTAGTAATAATTCTATATATTATAGAGTTAGTATTTTATCTAATCGCTCTTTTATTTCTAAGGCTACTAATACTATATAATTTGGATATTCTTTCTTATTTAGCCAGTCTACTTTAAATAGCACTAATCCAAGCTTATTAATATCTATTATTAGTGGTATATATCTTGTTTCTCTACTATATACTATTATCTAAGTCTAGAGATCGCTCTAGTCTAGTTATTAGGCTTAAGTTGAAAGAACACTATATTAAGATACTAAATTACTATAGTATATCTTTATTACTGGAGGAAAAATATTAGATATAGTAGTAATCTAGAAGATAGGCTAGTCTATAAAAACTATAAGGCTACTAGTATATACTATCTAGTTGCGTTGGATCAGTGGTCTATAAATAGTATTAGAACATATTATATTAAGAAAAGATAGATAGTAAGCTTTAGAAGATAATAGTAGAAGGATAAAATAGTTCTTTCTAGATTTAAATAGCGTAAACTACTACTATCTCTATATCTATAGCTAGTTCTAGATATATTCTAGATACTTCTTTTTTTAGACTTTAATTTCTTAATCTATACCTTGGTTTCTCTAGTCTATATCTTAGTAAAAGAAACCAGAAGAATCGGAATTAGACTCTTATATACTAGATTCTAGCTTAGCGGTTTATTCTTTAAAATATAAGATTCTAGACTATCTAGTCTATAAGAGCCTCTTCTACTATATATTTCTAATATATTAGGCTACTAAATTGAGAGCTAAACAGTTAATAGTATATCTTCTGCATTTTTCTATTATTCTAAGCTAGTAATTATATTAGAATATTATCTATAATATAGATAACAAAATGCAGCTAGATAGTATGGATACTTATATTTATATCTTTTATACTTTCAATTCTACTAGTATATATCTTTTATATTTAATAAAGTAATATTTAGACAAATTTTTTTTATTATCTGTATATTACTTTATTATTTTAGCTATCTATAATAATTCTAGAGTACCTAGATTTTTATCTAGCTAGTAAAAGTATATTAGATTCTATAGAATATAAGACTCCGTTTCTAGAGCTATTATACCGGTATTAATTATTAGCAGCTTCTCTAGAACATATAGTAATAGAATTTTTAGATATCTAGTAAAATCCTAATAATAGAAGTTATTCTCTTATACTATAATAACTTTATCTTAGCTCGCTTCTAACTAGATGCAATTTAAGTTTTATAATTTAGTAAACAATAATACTAAGTATTTATACTAACATTAAAGGTTATAGCTCTTGCTAAGTTTATTAGAAGAGTATAGATTTCCTTATAGGCTATAATAGTATACGCTTTTATATTAGTAGTTGCTTGTATTTCGAATACTAGCGATTTTCTAGTTGAAAGCAAATATCTTAGCCTTTTATATACATACCAGATAGATTGGCAGCAAGTAAATAATAAATTTAACATATAAAAATTTAGATAATATATAGTTCTTCTTCTTACCAGATGTATCTAGCTTTCTCTTACTAGTATTACTATAAATCTAAGATATTCTTTTACTATAAGCTCTAAAGATACTAATCTACTAGAAAGAACTAATTAGCTACTTATAGCTCTTTTGTTTCTCTTTAATTGATTCTAATCTATTACTATTCTAGATTTTAATAAGTCTAATTACCATTTCTTATATCTAGTAGATTATATTGCACTATTCTTATTAGAGTAGTTTATAGTAGCTATAAGCGAGTATCTATAATTTTAGGCTTTCTCTAGAACATAATATAGCTATATAGCTATTGGATGATTATATCTATAGTAAGATTAAGAAATATTTTACTATATATTTATATATCTCTAAGCTTTCTAGCCGACCGGATATCTTTATAATTAATATGCAACTAGCTTCTAAAATATATTAGTAATAAGCTTTCTGAGCTAGTTACGAGAATTAAATAAACGTATAATTAAGATCTTAATCTCTATAGTTAATACTAGAATTATAAAAACAAACCTCTTAAGATCTTTATTTTAGAGCTTTGCGCGCTAGATACTAGCTGCAAATCTCATATAACTAATATCTCTATACTTAGCTATGTTTATACTCGAGGTATTAATAGTCTAAAATACTTCTATTAGTTATCTACATCAAGAAAGAATAAATAATAGAGTTTAATAGATAATAATAGAAGAGTAAAGTGATTCTTGCTAGGTTTAAATAGCGCAAACTACTACTATTCCTATACCTGCAGCTAGCTCTTAATATATACTAGATATTTCTTTTCTTATGCCTTAGTTCCTTAGTTTATACCTTAGTAAAATAAGCTAAAGGAATTAGAACTAGACTTCTAGACATTAAACTCTAGTTGGCAATTAGTTTTTTAATATTTAAGATTATAGACTATCTAGACTATAAGGACATCTTCTATAAAATAATTCTAATATTCTAAGTACTTATGCTTTTTCTTTTAATTAGTTACTAGGCTAGTGCTAGTAAGTTAGTCAGATTACTTTATAGCTATACTTTATAGCAGCTTTTCTTTTACTATTTACTCTCTTGATTATATTAATATTGCCTTTTAAAATAGAACATTATGAAGAAAAAAGACTGAGGATAATTATTTCTAGCGCTATAAAGCTCAGCTATTAACAGGCTATGCTAATCTACTCTCTAGGCTACTAATCTCTTTTACTAGCTTCTAGATGCTTCTTGCTGTAAGAAAATTTAGTATTTCTTCTATTTAAAGTATTTTCTTCTAGATCTGTTAACTTTTCTTTTCCTATCTTTCTGATCTTGCTTTCGCCGGAACAAGCAAGGTATATCTTCCTTTTGTAGTCTCTTCTATTAATAAATTGTACTTACTTCAACAATCTAGTATTACTTGATTGTGAATCCTTGCGCTATACAAATTTTTTTCGTTCTGAGTGCCAATCTAACCTCTCTATACAAAATTTATGTCAAACCCCTATTACTCAATCACTGAGTAATGAACCGCTTCTTGAACAGTGCGATATGGGCAAGACGAGGCTGATCAGTCACGTGACAACGCATTACGGAGATATTCGCCTCGCTGTTGACTTCTGATCGTCTAGACACGCATTTGCAGATGCTGCATCGATGTCAACTCGAACACAACCAAACTGAAGCCTTACGGAAGCAGCAAATGGTCCAGTTCAACAAGGCTCGATATTGTGAGTGTTCTGGCCAGCGGTTCGCCTGACACCGTGGCTGGCGATACGTCAGGGTGAAGACCTAAAGAAAGCGCAATATGACATTACGCTCCTGATATCGCAGGATGTTTCGCCACGCCGTCGCGAGAGCTTACCATAGCACAAGCGCAGCAACCAAGCATACAGGATCATGGCATTCAATATACCTCCTGCGGAGCCTGATCCGTTCCCTGAGCATGTCCCTGTCTCAAACGACATGGAGTCAGGAACAGTAACTCGGGACTCCGATGAAGACTCGCTATCGACGCCTCGTAGTAAGAAAAGAGCCACTGCAAGCCCTACTGGAGTCCTTAAGAAAGCAGTATCATCGTCCAACGTTCAGGGTCTCGGCGTCGAAGGCCTCCCCGTTAGCGCAGCTGGTAAGAAAAGGAACAAGCTCGGCTACCGTTGTACAGCTGTCGCGTGTGGTAAGGCCTGAGAACGTTCTTCAGTGGTTAACCAAGGTCTGACAGGACATTGTTGGAAACGCAAGATATAGTGTATACCAGTTTTTGAGGACGCCAATGGCAGATGCCAAGACTGTCTTTATCTGAAAAAGGATTGCCGCTTCTTTCCTGTTGACTAGTAGACTGCTCCTACTGGGCGACGTGCCAGATCGGGCTCAAAGGCGGACAGCTCCCTTAACAAAGGTAACATCTTAGCCTCGTCATCTGAGATAGGAGCTCCCGTGGTTCTCAAGAGCTCGCCTGAAGATTGTATGATGCAGGCGAATGGTCAATTTCGCACCTCAGCTTCGCTCCAAGAGAGCGCTGCATTTCGGCCCTTCCAAACGGCTATCAATTCTCTTGTCATGATGATAGGTCTCTCAGAGCGGCTTTTTAGTATCCGTGCTGACTTCAAGCATATCCATATGCTTCAAGGTTAGGCCCGATGGAAGTCAAGATACTCGGCTTGAGTCAAATGCCACCAGTGTTCTCAATCGCCCGTCCAAGATCGTGTAGACGACGTTCATCCAGCCCTCGCTCGTTTATATCGTCGTCACCACCAAGAGGCTTTGGACGAGCCGCTAAACCGTTTAAGGTTGCGGAACCGTGGTTAGGAGCTGCTTAGCATGATTCAGGTTGTTCACCGTGGTGGTGGTTAGTCAAGGGAGGGTTAGGAGCTTAGTGGATAGGGTAAGGGAGGATTTGGAGCTTGGTGGATAGTGGATTGGAACTTGCGGAGTTGAATACTGCTTTGGTGGTCAAATTGATGTGGATAGACGCGTTCCGGTAATTGACAAACAAGGTTCAACACCTGCCAAGACCGTGAGCTTTTTGGATATAACCGTGGACTTAAACCATAAAGAGCTAGCCAGTTACTACAGCCGGTTAGATCGTCACCTGACCGTCTACATCGTTGAAACGGCGTGTCGAACGAGTCGGACGCGTGGACTCTCGATCGCTGGATGGTCGGGCGATTGAGAACACTGAATGCCACTCGACGAACCTCAACAGCAGCAACACTTGACAACTACGGACCAAATGGAAAAACCCTCCGAGTGTTTCGCGCCTTAGAACTTCCTTTCATCGCGTTGGGAGGGGCTCCTGAGAAACATTTTTGCCTTTTTGGCTATAAGTTAAGTGAAGGTGTAGGGAGATGCTTTGAGTCTTGTACTATTGGTTGGAGGATGCAGAAGCGTGATCAGCGGTTCCATCTTACTAGAGTTAACACAAGTGTTGCCTGACCTCTACCCGGCCCCACACCTTCTCTATTAGAGACTAGAATAAAACTGCAACTACTCGCATAGCTAATGAGGACTGGCCATATTCTTTGTTAGAGCTTCGAAGTTCTGACTGGGTCTAACAGGTCTTTCATCTCCATCCTCGGCCAATCCGCGTTAAGCGATGGATCTGGCCGCTCCCGATCCCAAGCCCATTTTTCTGCCAATTTGGGAGACAGCGAGCCCTCCAGCATTTGTAGTACATACTTGCCGAGCACTGGGAAGAACTTCCAGCCGTGGAACGAACCGCAGGTTGCGACGTATAGCCCCTCCGAGGCTGAGTGTGGCGAGATAATGAAGTCCGAGCTGGTCGTGAAGGCGTCCCTTTTCAGAGATTAGTCGGTCGTATGTTGTCATTGGGGTGCATTGACCTACCAGCAGATACGATGCTTCTCCAGCTTCCAGTTTGCCCCTTTGCTCCCGTAAAATACATTGTTCGCATAGCGGATGTCTTCTTTAAGTCTCCCAGGAACCTTCCACTGAGCGTAGTCCGGTTCCGGAGGCGGCATTGAAATGTGGCGGCCAGGCAACACTTCTTGAGTATTTTTGAATATCGTCTGTCCCCACCACTTGAGCTCTCTGCCGTCAGTCGGCGGAAGACTACCAATGAAGGGACCTATTTTGGCAGTTAGCTGCCGACGCAATGGGACACATCCAGGTGGCACAGTACCTGTTTTTGCAGTATACCCTTGAACACCCACAGGCATAGCAGCAAATCTCTCATATGTCTTGTCATCAAGTTGCGTCAGACCTTCCGTAATGCCACCCGCTAGGATCCTCGGTCCAGCCCGAAGATCAGTCAGACCACTACTCTCAGCACTCAACTCCAACAGTTTCGGTGTGAATGCTCCAGTGCAAAGGATAACATGCGAAGCTGACAAGGTCTCTCCAGTTGCTGTCTTGACTCCATAACAACGCCCGCGATCATCGAATTGCAATGTTGCAATTTCAGCTGTCACATATTTGACACCTAGTTCCACGGCTTTGCGAGTGATGGCCTGTAAACAATCTCCAGCAGCGGCCCAGCCACTGGTCTTGTTGACGAGCACCTCTTTGACACCAGTATAGTCAGCGTCGTCGAAAAGGCCGCCGTACATCTTACGGGCTTCGTCAATGGGCACGGCAGAAAGATCAGCATTCCGGCCGAGTTTCTTGTAGTTGTCGATGACATCCTGCGCGTATTCGCTGCGACACATCCAGTAGATCCCAGTCTCATGGAAGTACGGCTTCCAAAGCGGATCGAACTTGAAGATGTCTTGCGCTTCTAATCCCAGTTGGCAGTACACTATGTCATCGTAGTCGGCGCGCACCACCTTATTCCAGTCCCACGAGGCAGCCACGCGACTATCTGCGTCAAATGCATCCCGGTCAACTAGAGTCACCGATGCGTCAGGGTACTTCTTGATTAGATGATAGGCCGTGGACACTCCAAAAACGCCGGCTCCGATGATGATGTATGACGGTTTGCCTGAGGTCATCTTGAACATAGAGGACTCGCCTGGGAACTTGCTTTATGCACTCGGGGATGATCACAAGTTTATTACGCCTTCATATCTATATAGTCGGGCTTATGAGGAGATAGCCGCTCTCGGCAGTGGCGCTATGGGACACCGGGAGCTCCTATGCGGTAAAAAGGTAGGCGGTTATTATACCCATTAACAGAAAAGCCTTCCAGTGTGCCTCACGTGACAAACGATCCCAAGCGGCTGAAATAATTCAAAGCGGATAAGCCCGCTATTGCTTGTATTTCCTAGTGCTTAGGGCGAATTAAATCTGTCGATTGGCTCTAAGATCATCTCGCCTGTCAAAAGTTATCACGGGACTCGGCACCTCTCGCTGACAATACTATATCTAAAGTAGGACGCAAGTGTTGATGTCCCAGCGAGGAACTTGAGGATCGTCCGGTATATCGCAGGACTCGTGCCTTTGAGCTCCATCGTGACATGTTTCGTCACCGCCGCGCCGCTACCCGCTCTGTTGCGACCTGGTGGGGTAAGGCGAAGTCCGCTTTATAACCACCGTCCGTGCAAGCTTTGATGTCGAAGGCTTGGCCGTGTAACACTCGTGCGTCTGTAGGTATTGGTTTTCTAAGAGTAAACTCTCGAGCTAGCTACCGCGCGCGTTACTAATGGAGGAGCACAGCATTCCTAGTAAGATAGGAGATTTCGGCGGCTGGGCTCAGAAAGCTCCCCGTGAAATGGCGGATAGAGTCACCTTTTTTGGCTTAGGCCACGCGTAACTCAGGCACAAAAAGCTTCTCAATGGGGTATCGGGAAATTTTCCCACTTTGAGGCCTGGCAACCGAGACCCAGGCTATCCGCTTTCGAAGAAAGCTTAGATTTATTGCAATGCAATGCTCGTGCAACCCCATGTCTAGTAGACTTAAAGGACTAGAAGAAGAGCCGAGTACTTAGAGATAACTAAATACCTAGAAGTACTCTGTCTACTAGAGCTAAACGCTAGTATACTAATAGTAAAAGCCATGTATATATAAGCTAACTGATTTTGAAAATTTATGTCTTACTAACTCTAAAACACTATTATAAGACTTACTATTATTGTTATTATATTACTATTAAATTTTAACAGATTTCTTTTTTTCGAATAGTACTAAATATCTAAGCTTATCAAGAGCCAGTAAACTAGTAGTAAGATATAATATTAAGAAAATAGCTGTATAGTAGTATTTCAATAACAGTGCTTAGTATTACTATACTTGATAATACTTAAATTTCTACTATATCTTTCTTAGTAAAAATTCTAATTGCACTTAGGTTTTATATAGAAAAAACACTTAGAGTACTATGATAAATACTATAGATAAAGATTATAAAAAGTGCTTCTAAGCTTTCTAAGTCTATTCTTATACTTTTAATATATCTATATTATAGCGTCTTATAACTGCTTCTATAAAAGCCTTAGGAATCTAAGATTTTAGCTAAAGCTTAATTATAACTATAGAGCTAGTGGTTATAGCTAGTATACTATAGCTATAGCTAGTACTATAGATAGCTTAGCTATAAAAATAGTAACTACTAAGCTATATAAAAAATACTAACTACTAACTATATATATATCTTAGATTAATAGTTTAACTTGTAGTAGGACTCTACTTTTTTAACTATAGAGTAAATAAGATAGATATAGATTCTAAAAAATATCTTATAGCCTATAAAGACTTAGTAGATTGAAAAAGCACTTATATAGCTAAGAAAAACTTAAAAAGCTTGAAGTCTTAATAGAGAATCTAGAATCTTTACAGTATAATCTATAGTAGAACTATGCTTTTTCTATATAGCTATAAAGTGAATATATAGACTTATAAGTATAGAAAGTATTATATAGTTTATGCATACTAAGTACTTTCTATTATATACTTATTAAATAAAGAAGTATTTATAAAACCTATATTACTTTATGAATAGCTTTTAGTATGCTATAAATAGTCTAAATAGATATACTAGAGGCTATACCCACAAAGAAATAGGCTATATATATATCATAGAGCGTACTAATACTAAGAACTAATTTAATTATCATATAAATTATTTTTATAAACTATATTTTTAGTGCTAGCTAAAGAAAGTTATATATTTCTATAAATTAGATAGAGAAAATAAGAAAAATAAAGAATTAAAACTAAATCTCTTTCTGTATTTTAAAAGAGAAAATAAAGAATTTAAAAGAGAAAATTCTTTTCAGAAAGTAAGACATCTAATTTCTATTTAAGTAAGAAAAAAGTAAACAGAGATAGAATATAAATTAAGTGATAAACTAAAGTAAAAGCTAAGAAAGCTAAACTATATACTAAACTAGAAGCTAGATTAAAAGCAAAACTATAATTTAAACTATAAGTAGTGCTATAATCTAGACTATAAGTTGACTATAAATATCTCTTAAATTTTTACTAAAAAATTAGAGTAAAGAATATTACAAGAAGTGAATTATTAAGTAAAGTAAAAAGTAAACTATTTAATAAAGTGAAACTAGACTAGAAACTAGACTAAAAGCTAAGCTAGAAACTATACTAGTAACTAAGCTAAAAACTAAGATATAGAGTAAACTAAAAAAAACTAGAGATTAAATTAAACTAAGAGCTAAGAAGTAGACTAAGAAGTAGACTAAGAAGTAAACTAAGAAGTAAACTAAGAAGTAAACTAAAATTAAACTAGAAAGAGACAAGAAATTAAGCTATATAGAAACTAAAGTCTAAGCAAAGAAAGAAAATAACTCTTATATTAAGAATAAAGAAAACTAGAGGGGGTTTAAGGGAGAAAATACTTCTTATATATAGGAAAAAGAAAGATAGAGAGACTTAAAGAAGAATAATACTCTTTATAAGATATAAAAGACAAAAATAGCTAAATATACTAGATTCTTCTCATAAATACTCTAAACTATTTTAGTATACAATAAGTATATTTAGTTTCTTTTATTACTTTATACTTTTCTGACAATACTACTTTTAATCTTAATAACTAAATATCTTTTATTATAATATTACTATTTATAAAAAATACCTTTAGATACTATATAATCAATGGTTTTTAGTAGTAAATACAAAAATATTAGGTCTTTTACTATGTATATTTTATTTAATATCTTGTTAATAAAATAGATATAATTCTGAATTAGTATATAGTAAATACTCTATCTTGAAAATTCTATAACCTCTAACCTAAACTTATATAAGTTTTTAAATAAGTATTTTTAAGTTACTATTTGCAATAGACTTTTCTAGTTAAATAATTATTAATCATAGATTCTTAATATATATAATAATCTAAATTCACTTATTTTGTAAGTAATATATATTAAGTAATTTATTAGTCTTTTGTTTTATAAACTTGCTGCATCTGAATTATATAGAGTATTAAGAGCTTCGATTACAAGAATAAGTTAGAAAAGTGATTATAGCTAAAAGTTAGAAAATACTTAATCACTTATCTTACTAAAACCGTAAAAAATCAGTTAGATTAGTACAATTAGAATTAATTCTACTAAGTAGACTAAGAAAATAAAAAGATACTAGTTAGAAGCTCTAGTATATAGATAGTACTATTCTTATCTAAATACAATAATATACTTAATAGAAATAAAGATCTAGTAGTCTTTATAGCTTAATTTGATTATTATTATATAATATTAACCATTAATTTTCTTTTTTAGCGGTTAACACTTTCTTTCTAATTAGAAATTTCATCATTGTAGTAAATTTTATTATTATAAGGTAACTTATAGTATGTATAGTTAGAACTAAAATATTAAACATAGCTTTAAATATATTAAAATATTTATATATAGCTTTAGATAAACTAGCTATTCTATATACTTAGTATACTTAGTATATTTAGGCTTAGTATACTTCTTGAATCTATTATACTTTCTGGAATACTTAAAGTTATCTAGCTACTACTAAGCTACTTAGTGTATAGAAAGCTTTTAGAGCTTTCTTTCTTCGTTTTTATTTATATTCTAGCTCAAAGAAGTTAAGTACCTATAGTTTCAAAGATTAACTAGCTAATAGTTGTTTTTTATCCAAAGCTTCCTAAATATATACTAGAGTTTTCTCTTAAGATTATTATTAGTAATTATATTAAAATTAATTGAAATTTAGAGTTATTTTCATAATTTAAGAACTTCTACTTACTAAATACGTTAAAAGTAACTAAATGACTCTACGTATTCTAAGAAGTATAACAAGTCAAAGAAGTATAAGAAGTACAAGAAATTTAAGAGATATAAGAAATTTACGTATACTAAAATATATAGAGTAATTGAGTAATTCTTAAGTGAATAATAAGTGGCTTATAAGCCTTTTATAAGCCTTTTATATCTAAGACTTTAGAACTATATCTAATAAATTAGATATAATATTAACTTTAATTTATAACCAAGTACTAGAATATGTTAATGAAAGTCTTTATTATCTCTAAGATTAGAGAGCTATCTTTAAAGCCTTAGAGCTACTAGATCTATATTTTTTTTATAAGTAGCTCGCGAGTAGATTATAGAATAGTATAATTTAGTTTAAGCTAGTAGGTAAATTATGTAAATCGCAAGAGCTTAAAGATACTAAGCTACTAAATAGTATATAGAGCTTTAAACCTAGCTCTATCTAGCTCTATCTATCTAGTTCTATTTAGTTCTAAGTTTATATAGTCTTAACTACTACTATATATAGAGGTATAGCGATAGTATATGCTTATAGAACTTTTAAAAACAAATAAATTTAAACTACTTAATCTTCAAAAGCATATTCATTCTATCTTTATTAGCTAAAAGATAAAAATTAAGTAAGAAACTAAACTCTGAAACCTTTAGAACTAAGCTACTAGTACTTAGTAAGTAGCTTAGTACTTCTAAGTATCTTAAGTATTCTAAGTATCCTAATAAACATAAGAAGCTTAAGTATAAAGGGTATTTAAGGCTAAATCTAATAGCTTAGAGGTAAATCTAATATAGTAGATTCGGTTATAAATAGTTTAGAGCTAGTTAAGCTACGATATAAAACACTAATATACTTGTAATCTCAAGACATATATATATAAGCGAGATACTTTTCGAAATCTAATTTAGTAGTAATTTCTGAATACTATTATAAGACTTACTATTATATTATAGTTTGCCTATATATAGTAGCATGTAGAGTTCTATCTACCGATTGAATATTATATCTTTTAACTTAATAGCGTAAGCGTGAAACTTATATGCATATAAACTATTATCTATTACTATTATAATAATAACAATAAGTCTTAGAGAATTTCTTCTCTAATATAGAGTCAGAATGATATAAGTTTAAATAGCTAGCTAGCAAGCTAGCTTATCTCTTGGATAAAGTCTTTAACTGTATGTATAAGACTTTGTATTATGCTTAGTATCTTTTTTCGGGCTGACTAGCCTCGCGCTTCTTTACCAAAAATAAAGTTCATATGCATATCAACACCATGTCTCATGCACTTCCTTCCTCCTCTGCATCGGCGGCTAATGTCGACAACGCGATCACCCGCGTAGACGGCTCATGTCCGGGTCGTACAGCGGCTCGGGGGTGACGGTAGCGGGAATCCGTCGGCCGAAATACTCGATCTCAACAGAATCACCCTCGACGACCGTGCTAGGCAAGTAGGCATAGGCGACGGGCTTGCGGATCGTGTAGCCAAACGCAGCACTGGTGACATAGCCAATCGATTTGCCGTTATGGAACACCGGCTCCTTGCCAAGCACCACCGAGCGGCTGTCATCGACGGTGAGGCAGCGCAGGCGTTGGGCAGCCGTCTTTTCGGAACGTCCTTCGAGCGCAACCCTGCCAACATAGCCTTCCTTGCCCGCCTTGACGGCAAAACCGACGCCGGCCTCATATGGGTCGTGCTCAGTAGTCATATCAGCGCCCCAGGAACGGTAGCCCTTCTCCAGCCGCAAGGCGTTAAAGGCGCTGCGGCCTGCCGCGACCATTCCGTGGGGTTGTCCAGCCTTCCACAGGACATCCCACAACGCCTGACCTCTGTCGGCGCTGGTATAGATCTCCCAGCCTAGCTCACCAACGTAGGACAGCCGCATTGCTGTAACCGGGATGCCAGCAATGTTTGCTTTATTGCATCGGAAGAAGCGCAGACCCTTATTGGTGAAGTCGTCGGCGCTGACAGAAGTGATCACGTCTCGGGCCCGAGGACCCCAAAGCCCAATGCAGCAGGTGCCGCCGGTGATATCGCGCACCTGTACCCATCTGTTGGGCGTTTGCCGACTTTGCAGGCGGGCTGCTCGGGTGACGTATGCTGTATCGACGGGGCCATTCACGCCCACCTGGAACAGCTCGTCCTCGATCCTAGCCACAGTCAGGTCGCTCCGGACGCCTCCGTGTTCGTTTAGGAACAGCGTGTAGGTAACGGCACCGGGCTTCTTGGAGACGTCGCCTGTACAGAGTCGCTGCAGCAGGTCGACTGCTCCGGGACCAGACACCTCTAGCCGGCGTAGCGGAGTCATGTCGTACATGGCGACGGCAGTACGCGTCTTCCAGGCTTCTACCGCGGCGATCGGTGAGTAGTACCTGGAGGACCAGGCATCACGCTCAACAGGCTGCCACTCCATTGGTAGATCCTTAACCAGCCTCTCGTTCGCCTCGTACCAATATGGGCGCTCCCAGGCGCCAGCCTCGAGGAAGAAGGCGCCGAGCTCATGCTGCCGGGCGTGGAACGGGCTAACGCGCAGGCCGCGAGGGGACTCCCTCGGTTGCAACGGGTGCAGGATATCGTAGACCTCGACGAAGTTCTGCTGCGCGGTCTCTTTGACGTACTCGGGAGCAAGCTGTACTTCTTCGAAGCGCGACAGCTCACAGTCAGCGAGGTCGATCTTAGACCGTCCGGTGGTCAGGACCTCGGCTAAAGCGCGGGCCACGCCGGCAGAGTGCGTTACCCATACCGCCTCCGCCACGTAGAATCCGTCTAGATGGGGAGCCTGCCCGACGAGGGGCCCGCCGTCGGGGGTAAACGAGAAGATCCCATTAAACCCGTCGGCAATCTCAGTGCCTTGCAGGGCAGGCAGGAATTTTTGGGACTCCTTCCACGCCGGGTCGAAGTCCTCAGGGGTGAACTCGAGGCGGGAGGGCATGTTCTTTCCGTCGACGTGCTCGGGGGTCAAGCCCAACGACGCGGCAACGACCGGCATTGGTTTGTGGCCGTAGTAGCCGATGCCGTACTGGTCGCCATGTTCACGGTAGTAGAGATCCTGGTCTTGGTGACGCAGAATTGGCAGGCTCGCTCCATTTGGCCGTGGGTTACGGCCGGCCAGGGCCGGCACAGCAGTTGTCTTAACGTATTGGTGAGCTAGCGGAAGCAAGGGGATTGGTAGGTTGACCATGGCTCCCACCTCGACGCCCCAGAAGCCGGCGCAGGAGACCACGATGTCGGCAGGAACGGTGCCGTTAGGCGTCATCACGCCAGTAACGTGGCCTTCAGCCCGCTCGATACCAGTGACAGGCGTTGATCCGAGATAGCGGACGCCGGCCTCGCGAGTCCGTGCGATGAGCCGCTGTACAGCGCTGGCCGCCAGAGCCAGGCCGTCACTGGGAATATGCAGGCCGCCGAGAACCATATCTTTGTTTAGGTTGGGATAGATCTTGAGGCACTCCTCGGCGCCAATCAAGCGCGCGTCAACGCCCCACGAAGCGGCGTAGCCGTGCTTGCGCTTCAGCTCCTCGAGCCGCGCAGGAGTAGTCGCCACCTCCAGGCCGCCTACCTGATTGAAGCAGCTCTCGCCGTCCCACTCCAGCGATAGCAGCTTCTCCACGGTGTACTTGGCGAACAGAGTCATGGTCTTGGATGGATTCGTCTGAAATACTAGACCGGGAGCGTGCGATGTGGACCCTCCCGGCATGTCAAGAGGGCCCTGGTCGATGACAGAGATATCGGTCCATCCTCGTGAGACCAGCTCGTCGGCGAGGTTGGTGCCAACGATGCCAGCTCCGATGATAACGACGCGTGGTGGAGATGGTGCTGCGATCGACCCCATTGTTAATAGCCGTCCTCAGGCTTGTCGAGGTGGTCAGCGAACACGAACAAACGGCCGGGCAGACGAGTCTGGGTTGGTCGTCGTAAGGTGAATTGGCCCGCCTACTTTCCAAATGCCACAGCGGGAGGTTTAAGATCAAGATCTATCAGAGCAGCTCCCCAAGACCTTCGCCGGAGCAAGAAGTATACAGCGCAGATGGACGTTAATAAATAGTCAATGGTAATTGTAATGTTAAGTCAATCGCGGATTGACTGCCTGGAACTGTATGGGTCCCCAACCTGCAGGCAGTTATGGTTGATGAATGGAAGGGATAACGAAAAGAAGTTAGGGTGTATAGCAGGTCGCATTATGAAGAACATGGGAGCAGTCTCGATTATTGCATCCTGTATCTCCAGTGCGCCAATGGGAAGCAGCTAGATTACTGAATCCGGACAGCGAAGATATGGATGAGTGCACCAAGAATGGTTATAGGTTCCATCCTCCGCCACCAGTGCCTTGGCAAGTAGAAAGGCGCTAAGCCCAAACATGCTAAGATTGAGGTTTGGCAACGCTTCGCGCATCGAATCAAAAATACTCAGCTATCTCTTGCAATAGGGCACCAGCCGTTGGATTGACTCCACAAAGCCTTAAATATCGAGTAATGAATGCAGAGTTCCGGGAACGCCAAGATGGAATGTCGATTTATATGGTAATGCTATTATTTATAGACGATGGTTACGGCTGCCATTAATGTACAATACCATTCTGTAGCTTGCTAGAAATACTTGACTCTAACTTCAGCCCAAACATATCTACCCTTTGTTCACGTTCAGATACCAAGTCGCACATCACCGAACCCGTGCCTAAGCATAGAGCAATTCCCCACGGCCCATATCCACCCGCAACCTATACCTTCGCACCCAACGTGGCTCGAAATCCTAGACTTAGATCCCTCAGCGACACCTAACTTACGATCGGAACGCCGGACTTGCTGACCGGCCTAAAATAAACTACTTCCCAGAAAGACTCCAGATCGTCTCCTGTGGCGCCTATACCATCATCTCTTTTCAACCCTGTCAGCTGAACTGCATCAACTCACGACTCTTTAATTCTTTCCTTGCTGACCGATTTCTTCGAGTCGGTGGTCAACTGCAGCAACACCAGCTCGGTACTGTTGTTGTTAAGACCGCTGATCCAAATTTCTGGTTGTCTGTTACCGTCGAGACGGGCGTAGGCTTCCGGAGAGAATGACCAGTCCTTCGTTGGCGGACAGTAGATCGCGTGGGAGATGTGGTCATCTTTCGCGTGAGCCTTCCCTTCCCATCATTTGGCAACATTGACAAAAGGTCTGCTGTACCTCTTTGATCTGTAAAGAACGCTGTGGCCGGAGTGAGCGTGGATGTTCAGTTGAATACGACTTCGAGGGAACAGCGTCTTGAAGACGCATGGTGTCTAGCAGCCAGCTAAGATGATGATGTCGTTGTAGCGTAAGTCAGTTGGCTTCGTTCTTTCGTCCGTGCTCTCGAGGTTGAGTGCGGAGATCTCGCCAGCAGCGTTCCGCAGCACTTGTAAGGCTTGGGTACCCACCCGAAGCTTAACACCTTTTCTAGAAGTTGAAAGAAGAAAGTCACACAACTCCCGTGGCTCCACCTGTGTGCAATCATCCACACTCGCGACGACACTCCAAGATGCTCAAGATTACGACATTATCTATGCTGGCGTCCCATCAGCATTGACGCTTTCTCCAGGAGCCGAAGCATGACCCTCTGCACGGCGTCCAGCAGACTGAGCCCGACTCGTCCCATCCAATAACCAGTCGTCGCCGCGGACACTCTGCGGAGCATCATCTAGCGTTAATCTCTATATGTGAGACCCGGCACAACCCCACCCTCTAGGTATAGAAGAACTTGCACCGCAAATATTAGCTGTTATAAACTACCACATCTACAATCAATATTGGAAGGTTGGATAACAATTGATATTTGCTTATCTAAACGTTATTCTACTCTCTATCTTATTGCATTTTTTAAGCAGTTTAATATTAACTAAAGGTATTAGTTAATTGATTGAGTTTTAGCTATTATTCGAAGCCTTTCAACTAATATATAAACATTCTATAATCTCTATCTATTAGTATAGTATAATTCTGAAAAGTTGTTAAGAGATATAATAGAATATAGAAAGTATCTTAGAGCATTTTAGATTTTAATAACTAAGAAGAAACTTTATTAATAGTAGTAAACTTAAAGAGGATTGTTATAAGCTAAGGTATTATCTAGTAAACTATATACACTAACTTAAAAAGATATAGTATCGAGTTCTACTTAATAAAAGAATAAAGTATTATATAACCTTAGATATATACGCTCTATGTATCTATATTAGAAATATTATTTTAATACTTAGAGCTACTAGAAGCGCTTAGAGCCTTTAAGCAACTCTTACTACTCTAGACAAACAAGCTAAGCGTTTAAAGTACTTATAATATAGATTTTATTAGCGAAAGTTTCGTAGCTTAACTAGCTTTAAGCTATATATAGCTAAATCTAATGCACTAGATCTATCTCTAAGACATTAGATTTACTTCTAAGCTAGATATAGCTAAATTAGGTTTAGCTTTAAGCTAGGAATAGCTAAATCTAATCTATTAGATCTAGCTCTAGATACTCTATACACTTAGTGTTCTTAAATTTCTTAGAATACTTAGAACTACTAAGCCACTTAGTAAGTAGCTTAGTCTAAAACTCTTTAGAGTTTAGTTTCTTACTTGATTTTTACTCTCTAGCTAGTAGAGATAGAATAACTATGTTTTTAAAAATCAAATCATTTAGATATTTTTTTTTAGTAGTTCTATAAGTATTTACTATATTAGTGAAAGTCTTTATTACCTCTAAGATCTTAAAGCTATCTCTAAAACCTTAAAAATACTAAGCCTATATCTATCTTATAAGCAGCTTATAAGCCGCTTATAGAATAATGCAACTTAGTTTAAACTAGTAAGTAAATTAAGTAAATTAAGTAAATTATACTAAGCTACCAAGTATTATATAGAGCTTTAAATCTAGCTCTATCTAGCTCTATCTAGCTCTATCTAGCTATATCTAGCTCTAAGTCTATCTAGCTTTTAACCACTACTAAGTATAGAACTAGCTTAAATATATACCTATAGAATCTCTAAAAAAAGACAATTTTAAATAGCTTAAGTTTTAAAAACGTAGTTATTCTATATCTACTAGCTAGAGAATAAAAACTAAGCAAGAAATAAATCTCTAAAGATTCTATTTATTAGGCGGCTTAGTAGCTCGAAGTATTCTGAATATTCTAATAAGTATAATAAGCTTAAGAATATAGATTATTAAGATTTAGCTTTAAGATATTAGATTTATCTCTAATATACTGAAACTAGCTATATCTAGTTTAGAGCTAGTTAAGCTACAGAGCAAAGTATTAATATAGAGCTAGCTCTATATATAGTAGTAGTTGATAGCTAGATAGCTAGATAGCTAGATAGACTTAGAGCTAGATAAAGCTAGATAGATAGAATATGGTTTTATATAGTAGCTTAGTAGCTTTATTAGCGTTTTGTTTCGTAGCTCGACTAGCTCTAAGCTATATACAACTAAATTTAATACGTTAGATCTATCTCTAAGACTCTAGATTTATCTCTAAGCTATATATAGCTAAATTAAGTTTAGTTCTAAGCTATATGTAGCTGAATCTAAGCTATTAGAGCCGGCTCTAGATACCTTATCTACTTAGTATCCTTAAGCTTCTTAGGCTTCTCGAGCTTATCGAGCTTATTAGAATATTTAAGATACTTAGAGCTAACTAAGCTACTTGAGCTACCTAAGCTACTTAAGCTACTTTTTAGAGTTCCGCTCTCGCTTAATTTTTACTCTCTAGCTAATAGAGATAGAATAACCACATTTTTAAAAATTAAGCGATTTAAATTTAATTTTTTTAAAGTTTTATAGACGTATACTATAGCCGGCTCTATATACGGTGGTAGTTAATAGCTAGATAGAGCTAGATAGACTTAGAACTAGACGAAGCTAGATAGATAGAGCTTTATATAGTAGCTTAGTAGCTTAGCAGCTTTGTAGCTTAGATAGTTTAGATAGCTTAAGTAGCTTAAGTAACTCTAAGTATTCTAAGTATTCTTATAAGCTTAATAAGCTTAATAAGCTCGAGAAGCCTAAGAAGTCTAAAAAGCCTAAGAAGCTTAATTTAGCTAAGTATATAGGCTTTCTCGCGAGCGGCTTGCGAGATAGATATAGGTTTAGTATCTCTAAGATTCTAGAGATAGCTCTAAAATCTTAGAGTTAATAAATATTTTTACTAATATAAGTAGCTTAGTAGCTCTAAGTATTTTAATTATCTTAATATATATAAAAACCTCGAGTGAACTAAGTATATAGAGTAATTAACCTCTCTTATAAGTAGCTTATATGATAAATATAGAATTAGTATCTTTAAAACCTTAGAGATAGCTCTAAGATCTTGGAAGTAATAAATGATTTCACTAATATTAGTATACTAAGCCTTACTTAGTTAGCAGTTAAAAATTTTTAGAACAAACTTTATATCTAAATAAACTAGTAGAATAAAGAGAAAGAGTATAATAGAAGTAGTTAAGAGAGTAATTCATTAATAAAAAGAATTATTATTTGCTTAATTTTTAATAACATATATATAATATCTATTTTTTATAAAGAAATCAAAGTTAAGAAAAATAGCTCTAATATATTATATATAGTTTATGTTTTTTAACTTACTAAGTAGTTTATAGTTATTCTAATTACTCTAAGCGCTCTAAGTACTCTAAGTACTTAAGCTACTTCTAAGTTGCTTATAAGCTGCTCGTAAGCCTATATAGAGCGCTTAGAGTATCTTAAATATCTTAGACTAAAGGTAATCTTCTAAGCGCCTGAAATTTTTTTAATATAATAAAAATAATAAGAATTAATTTTATAATACAAGATCTATTCAATTTAATATACTTTAAGGCTTTTAGCTGTTAT